GCTTTTCGTCCCCTTACTTGGGTGGGAAAACACCGTCACGTTTTCGTCGCTGTCTTTCGGCCGCCCGTTTGCATAAAAGAGAAAGATGAAAATTGGAAAACTGAAAGCCAATGCAAGCGGAATATAGAGAATTGGTAGAGATTGAGGTTGCAACAATAATCGATAGATGCATGAGCGCCAGTTTTTGTGACACCCAGCCATATCGCTCAGTGTCTCTAACCATGATCTCAAGTTCCCCAGTCTGGTCTTCGCTTGACAACCCTTGACCTTTTTTCAAGCGCTCCCTTCCTCGGCAAACATCGCTTACCATGGCAACCTATTCGGTGGCATGCGTAACACATGCCCCAACCAACGTAATCTATGGAGGTCGACCAATTGCTCCAGAGGACGACCCTGGAAGCGCTCGTTCGATTAACTCACCAGACTCATGCAATGCGACGTAGACAGTGATGTTGGAGAACCGACAGTCTCTTGCTGCAATTCTGGTTCGATTGTTTTTCATCACGAATCGTTTCGGAATTTTGATCGTTATTCTCATGTTTCTTGTTTGAGCAAGTTTTCTTCGACACTGTCACGACGCCATTGCGGGTAGCGAATGAAGTAAACTCCACGATCAATGAAACTGCAGCCTAAGGTGGGAATATGTGGGTAGCGTGTAAATAGAAACCAGTTTGTTGATCCTGTTCAGGTGATTGGAAAGTCAGCGAGGGGCAGGATGTCGCACTGTTCAACAGTCCAGGTTAAAAAGAAAAGCAGCCGATAGAACGGTGACAGGTGGGGACAACAGCTTTGTAACGGTGATTAGCCGTCTGCGTTTTAACTGAACGAGAAGAAATATGAGAAGGGCTCTCATCTGGGCAAAATAAACCTGCTTAATAACGACAGGAATGCGGTAGTGAATCGAATTCACGGCTGTGGAAAACGATCAACAATTGGAGTTCACGGAGGTATTGTTGATCAGCCTGATAATCCTACGTTGAACCCGATTAAATAGACGAATTAGAATAGACAGTTCTTAGGATACTAAATACAGTTAGGCATTTGTCGATATTAAAAACTATATGTTTGATAGAATCCCATGCGAAGCCGAATAGATAATCGAAAACCGGTGATTGACTCGTAACATTACAATGGTAATGATAATCGGACACATTGCGACATAAGAAAATAAACAAATATGAGCAATTTCGCCGGAAACACCTCTCTACAGTCGAAGAGCTTTCTTGGGTGTAGTTCGTGCACGTCGTATGTGAAACAGCTGAAGTCCGTTTACTTTCAACCATAATTGTCGAACTTAGTGCATGCTTCTTTTCGTATGCGATTTAATCCTATCCATTCATGTCTGTTATTCATTGTCAATCCACTATTTTTCCTATTTCCCTTCCATCCCTGTAACTTCCCACGGTATTTGCTCTCTCACGGATGTTGTACTGTTTCTTTGGCTCCCCGCATTTCTTTCTCGACGCATGCACGCACGCACGCGTGCACACTTCCCACAACTATCCATAACAAAACACAGTGGATTTACCAAGCAATTCACATGGAGTGTGGACCGGTGCTCTATCCTGTCCGAAATGGGTACTATGCATATGGAATTCACCTATCTGTCTGAGTTGACCGGTGACCTCAAATACGCGAAAGCTGTAAGTGCGTTGTTTTTACCGGATGACACGGGTGTTTTCCCCCTCACCATCTTTCTCTGCCTCTCGTCAATCGTTATTTGCAATGGTAACATTTTGTTCCACTTTGCATGACCACATTTTTAAGGATCCTCAATTAAGCGGAAATATTTCATCAGATCATATTGTCGATATGGTGATAGGGGAATACGTGTTTTCTGTCTCGCTTACTGTTGTCCATGTTGCATCAGTGAAGATACAGAGAATTCTTCTCATGCTGCTGTGGTCAGTGCCCTTCTTCACTGTTTTGAAAAGGCCAATTACACCTCTTCTTAGTTTTTTCGAAATCAGGCGTTTTGACAATTCCTCGCCAGCCCATCGCCCTAGTTGAACCTCCACTGGTTCACCGACCCGGCTATAGCCCTGGATGTTAGCTTTTCGTCCGTTAAATTTGATGAGGTAACATCTCTACGACTTAAAGTCAGTGACTAGAGCTTCTTCAGCCAAGCTTATTTGGGACGCCTGGTCCTATAGAATCATTTAGTGAGGTACAATAGCTGCGCGATTTGTCAAAAAATCGAGCCACTCAGATCTGATCACTGAGGCTTTCAGAGACAACGATAAATACATGGATGAAACCTAGTGCGTTGTCGCAATGAAAACTGGATTATGTTCTTCAGTATGGTATGTTTATTTCCTGTCTTGTTTAGCTTGACATCCAAGCGAGTAGACCATCTTGAAATCGCCCTTCAAACTGATCGGTATGTTCTATCCGCACTTTATCCATTTCGTTTTCACATTGTCCATTCCCCTACCCAAGCAAGCTTTGTCACATTAGTGTTCTTGTCCATGGGGGGCAATAACTTTGTTCGAGAATGTCTCTTCCATTGGAAACCTACGTGTTCCCTTGTGTGATGATCCGTATGTATGCGCCAAATTCGTCGTCCTCACACTACTAATCTAACTATTGTATCTGCCACGTGGAATCGGCTTCACAGCGGTTCTCCGTTGTGAACATTTCCCATTCTGTGGTGTGGAATGTTTCGCAAAAAAGAACGTTCCCACAGTCTCTTTGTCACGAGTCCTTGACCCCTGGAAACATACAGTCTTTCTTCGAAAATATACTTTGCCCTGAAAATAAACTATATCAAAATCGTTCAAAATATTTGTATTTAACCAAACATTCAAATGTCCAGCTTATTATACGTGTCTCCGTGTTCGGTGGTCTTCTGGCATTGGGACTATAGCGACTCATCTAACTTTCCTTCGGCATCCAAACTGGGAATCACTTGCCTCATCATCCAAGCAGATCTTGAATCGTCCCAGTTAAATCAATCAATCCACGCAGGTAATTACTCCATTCTACTTGATGATGGTGAATATCCGACAACTGTCGTACACCCATGAAACGAAAAAAGTAGCATTTGAACAAATTATCATACATTTAGGAACAGTCAACTAGGCCGTGCCACTTATTCATTTTCGTGGTGGTGGTGGTGGTGGTGGAGGGAGGAGGTCTCTGATAGGAGTAGCACGCCCGTGTTGGTGGACTAACGTGCCCCCGGAGGCAGATTGCATCTCATCGATATCCTTCATTTGTCTTGTTCTCACCCGGAGCTAAAAGCAGCTGTTTGAAGCATGCCTCCATCACCGCAGTTCTGCGATTAACTCGATCACTGAACTGAACCAGACCAAATCCTCAAGGGGAAGTTGCACAGTATGCTGATACACCGACTCCCCAGTGAATGGACGAGATCTACTATCGTGTTAAGCTGCTGTAATTGGAAATGTACACAACAGACAAAGATGCATGGATCGCTTGGTCAGATCTGTCGGATTACAAATGAGTACCCGGGAGAATCACNACAGACAACCGTACATCAATACTTTGCATTCCACACTTGGTTGCGCCCTCCGAAACCGCCGGGTGCTGTTATGTCGCATCAAAACCCGATGAAAATTCGTCATTTCCAAGGAGACGACTCATTTAGTCGTGGTTCTTACGCGCGCGCGCGCCTACACATACGGCAGATAATGCTAAAGCGGTTCGCATAAAATTTTCCACAATAAATCACACCCGAAGCAGTTGTGGGCAAACTTTTGATACCATGGCATCGTTTGTCATCCGATTGCTGTAAAAGGATTTGGCAATCAACAGATGTTTTGATTGATGCTAATTTGACGTGTTTTACAGTGATACCGGTTAGAATGGTGTACATCTTTTCCTATTAAGCTTTAGCTAAAACCCGCAATCCTGGCCTTGATCCACATTCCTCTAGCCAAAACTCGAAATGATCAGGCCAAAACTCATAATCCTTTAGCCCTGACCTACATTCCTTAAGCCAAGACTCGCAATGCTTTAGCCACTACCCGTAGTCTTTTAGCCTCGCCAAACAAACTTCAGTTACGCCGAAGTAGGCGAGTCAGATCAAAAAGTATCAGAATATTCTGAAGTTAACGGATTTTGATGTTGCTAACCTTAGTTAAGAAATAATATATGGGGGTCGCACGCTGCGCCACATGTTGACTGGACAAGCTTTGATTGATGTGTTGTATCGTCAAACCATTTGTCACACCTCGTAAAGCTTCAGTTTTTCCGTATAGTATGTCATACTCCTGTGAGTAGAAATCTCAAATATAACACAAATGGTACATTGTTTTACATTCACAAACCCTGAAATAAATCAAAAAGTGGTATCACGAAAAAGAAAATGCTTACCGTTCTGTATATCCATCTTAAGTGAACTCCGCTCTTGAGATGTGAATACAGTACCAGGTCGAGGATAGTAAACATTGTTTAAAAAGATCTCCTTTAGCACGCAGTTTCCCAATAAGGTACAGACGAAATGCGTGATTCTTGAACCTCGACCGTTGTAATTATGTCAAATATTGCAGCGTTAATAAACTGATGATAGGTATTGGGGTGTGCTTTTGTGAACAGTGTTTATTATCCTCGACATGTTTGTCTATCCACTTCTCATGAACAGAGGTCACTTGTGAATGCAAAAAATGTACCATTTGTGTTACACTTGAGATTTTTGCTCACAGGACTATCGCATGTTATACAGAAATACTGAAGCTGTACGAGGTGTGACAAATGGTTTGACGATGATGCAGCGTCCGATCCCCACACCTTGTTACTTCCTAACCAAGCTTTGCAAAATCAACATTTATAGNTTTATTCAACATCCGTTAACTTCAGAATATTCCGATACTTTTTGACCTGACTTGCCTACTTCGGCGTGACGGAAGTTCGTGCGTCGAGGCTAAAGGATTACGGGTCGTGGACAAGGCATTTCGGGTTTTGGCTAAAGCAGTGTGAGTTAAGGTTAAAGGACTGTGTTTTGGCTATAGGTCAATGGGAAAAGGTGCAGTATGGTAATGAGATGTTCAATGTATGCTGTTGTCTTGATTTCTTGTATGACGGCCACTTTTGTGTGTCTCATCCTAATTACGGTTCACTTCTCTCTTTCTCCCCCTCTCTTCCCATACATATACACACACACACACGCTCATGATAGGTTAACGTTGTACGTCAAATTCTATCCAAGATGCCCAGACCAACTGGACTATTTTATAATTTTGTGAATCCTCGAACCGGGTCTTGGTGCGGTCAACACGCGGGTCTTTCCGGTCTGGCCGATTCGTTCTACGAATATTTGCTGAAAGAGTGGATTCGAACCGATCATGCGGATACACAAGCACGTCAGATGTATGACGAAGGTTTGCAGGCACTGCTTTCCAACGGTCTATTCAAACAGAGTGCTGCCGGTCACCTCTATCTCGGTTCCTATCATCATGGCACAGTGTCTTCGGTGATGGATCATCTGGCCTGTTTTGCTGGTATATTCATCGGGCAAATTCTTTTTCTAATTGGTTCCTTGTTTTATATGTATCAATCTTGACAGAAACCATTTTTACATTGCGGTGGTTCGATCATTGGTACCGTTTGATACAGAAACNACAGAAACATGACCGAGTCTTGGGTGCCACAGACTATCCGCACAGCATCACAAGAACCTGTTGATATGACCGGACAGGTATTACAAAACCAGCTGCATTAGTGCTTGCAAGATTCTAAGCGAGATTTGTTATGGCACACCACTGTGTGATGAATACGAGACGGGGCGAGCTCCATAGTCACGAGGATCTGTTCCGTTTTGGTAACTTATGACCTGACACTTGGAATGGTGAACCATACTGTGCCCAACGAAGTTAAGCGTGGTATTGAGCCACTATAGTTTGGTAGAGGTGGGGTTCGGTTCTTGGACTATAGGACCCCTAAGCACACCGATAATAGCGAATTAAGTCGTTTGACATGCTAGTTTGCGCGTGCTATTATTGACAGAAGATATTTGCAAAAAAATCTGTGACGTTTTTGTATGATTCCACGCAGTGTTTGCTTATTTCAATAAGAGAATACGTACACGGTAGTATAAAGTAAGGTGATACGAGGCATTTTTTAGTAACAGCCCGTGGTGCGCGCAGGGGCTATGTGAAGATCCAGGTTGGATGAAGGCTTTTTTGGCTGATCCCATTGCTACTTATGTTCGGCATGCGTTTTGCACCTTAAAAGTATAAAACATTCTTACAAAGTTTGCTATTCGAACAGCTTTTTTCTACACAATTTCGTGTGATGTACAGCAGACGGTTTAACCCCCAAATTCACGAGGACCTGCTGTTCAGTGATGGAAATCAATAACCTAAGCCCCGGGTCTTGGAGTGGTGAACTACATAAAGCCCCGATAGGTTAGGTTTGGTAGGTTTGGTATTGATCCGGACGACAGCAAATTTGCCTATCACCAAAGTTACTTCTTGCTTATTGAATAAATCTCGGATGGATTTTCGGCGCGCATACAAAAAGCATAGTTGGTGTTTGTCAACTTGTGGCATATCTGGTGCCCCTCAAGAAATCCGGCTGTCTATGAAGGGTTGAATCTATACTGCAACAGTTCGGCCGGTTTTGTGTTATACGGTGCAGTGACATGCCAGTAAGGAACTAGGATGAAGATAGGCAGTCTGTTTTTCCGTCACCTTTGTCTATACCAGATTGCACAGATCTGTCAGGGCAACCGGTTAAGCGATGCTGGAGTTATATGCCGAGTTTAAAGGCAACGCGGCAGTGCACCGAAGTAAATCCTTAAACTCCATAGATTATATTGGCTGGGGTATGTGTTGCACAGACCATCGGATACGCTTTCTCGATGTGCAACGTTTAGCCGAGACAGTTGGTGGAGAAAAGGAAGGGTTTTCACGGTAAGACCTGTTACGAAAGTATTAAAGCTCTAACCAATGGACCTGAACATATAGCCTGTGTTAGGTTCCCGGTTGGAGATGTGAGGATCAGTGTAGCCGGTGATCAGAGACCCTATGGGATTTGAAAAATCGAAGTCTTTGTAAGTTAAATCCCATAATAAAAATTTGAATTTGACCGATTGATATGGCTGAATGTTATCAACAGTGGTGCTCATTCATCTACCCTCACTTTCTTCAGCAAGTTATTTTGAACTGCATTTTGTATTCCTACTGGGGTTCTGCTCTCAACCGTCTGCTTCTGTTTAGTCTTGCATCTGATTTTGAAGCTGAAAGATCGCGCCGCACCAAAGTACCAGTAACGGTTTCAATTACGGGAACTGGAACCATGCCCGCCTACAGATAGATTGAACAAAGTGTTGTTAGTCGAATGAATCGTTTCGGCGCTTTTCCAGTGTGTATACCACACGTGCGACATCCGGGGCTATAACCGGGTTGGTGAACCACTGGGAGTTCACCTAGGGGAGTTGACCAAAAACCCATGGTTTCAAACCAACCATAAGGAGGCGCACGCACTACACATACACCTTCTTGGTTGTGACAGGGGTCACCGGCTCGATTGGGCATCCAGGTGTATTGGACAACTTGGACGTTTGACCCCGTCCAAAGGGCGTATTATCCGATCAACTGGACGCCTGCTCCCAATGGATTGCGGTTTTCACACACCACCCCGCTGACTTGTGGGTCAGGCTTTGGCTAGCCAAAAGCTCCGGTTGTGGATTCCTCAAGAAAATTCACCTGTCTTGGCCTGAGCAACCTAGCAGTATTCCACCCACATGCAAATCATGGAATATTTTTCTTCTTCATAGTGATTATTGTACCGTGGTTTGTTTGGCACAGTCTGGATTCAGATGCGTGCGAAAATATATATATATGAGTACACCACGTGTGGCACTAGGTGCTTCGCATACCAAAGTCTTCGGTTTTGTCAATACCCAATGTCCGACAATTGACGACTAGGATTCATTCGTCATGCTTCAATGCTTGTCTTGCCCTCAATGTTGATTGATTTGGGTTATCGGTTACTCCATTTGAATAGTTTCAAGTACTGTGTGTGTGTGTGTGTGCATCAACCTGATTCCCTCTTGTTTGTGGTCGCAATATTTGGAGTTTGTTTTAGGCGTAGTTCACATAATTATCATATTCGATCATGGGGCTAAATTAGCCAACCGCTTTTCGGTCAGAGCTAGTATGTGTGTTGTAGCACACTATTATTTGGTAAACAGTTAAACGGGTGAACCTCATTTTAGGTATGAAAACTTATAACCTGATCCCGCCCATGGGACAGATAAACCACAGAAGCGCTCAATAGTATTAAGCCCAAAAAGCGGTGTAGCCACCTACTATCAGAGTTGGTCGGTAATGGTAATGTTCGAACCTAGGTCCTTGAAATCGACAGCATATTGGTAACAGGGACTACTATCGTTTTGGTCATCATGGTGTTAGCGGACAGTTCGTGCA